ATAAAAAAATTTTCACGGAAAAAACTAGGAAAATTTCACACGACTTTTTTAAACCAAAAGTAGTTGAAAAGAGTGAACATTTTCAGGTTAAAAATTATTGAAACTTCGTTCCTTCCCATGGAGGTAGTTCGCATATAAAGTGATTTATCCTCGCGACAGTTTCAGTGCAACTGCTTAGTAGCGCATGAATTGTTTGAGAAAAACTGAGAGTATTGATCTCTGATCCGTCGCCCCAAAAATATCCCCAAACACACGATCTCTCGAACTTCCGCGTGTACGGAAAGCTTTACATAAAACATCGGTCCCCACATCGGCACCTGCTTTCAGACTCCACGCTCTTTGGCCCCGATCGGTGACTTTCGGCCTGCATTCGGTTCCCTAGCCGATTTTCCCCAGGGGGAAGAACGAAGGGCCAATCCCCGATGCGGCGCGTCGACAGTTGGACGGTCTGATGCGACAACGGCGGCTGCGCTGATTGGTTGTTTGGCCGACAACTGGGCGGGTCCCAGTCACGCAAGCGTCTATTGTTAGGGACATCGTGAGGCGGAGACTGGCGATGGGAAACGAACGGGAACGAACCGATCGATCTGTTTTCACGACTAGACTGGGGGATTTTCGCTGTTCGTCGTCGTGTTTTGACAACGGCGGTAACCGGATGATGTGTACATCTATGAGCAAGTCGAATATTTTCTTTGCGTTTTTTGGGGGTTTAGTCTTAAAACACGAGTTTCGCCGACTGGCAAGTAGACAGAAGGAACATTTTATCGCATTGGTTTTGATTGAATTGACTTGAAGGAAAAATGGACTTACCTTGTTGATGTGATATGCTGGCAACTTTATTTCCGCTCAGATAATCGTCTTTGCATATAAATTTGTTGTCGTCCAATACGTAGAGTTCTTCTCCGGTCGAGAGCTGTTTTCGACATACTAGACAAGTGAAACAGTTGAGGTGGAATACTTTGTCTCGCGCTTTTCTCACCAAATCGGAGGGCGAGATTCCCTGGCCGCAGCCGCCACATTTCGTACCGTATCTCCTGAAATCAAAAATCGAATTTACTAAGTAAATTTGAAAAATAACTCACAAATGCATATTTTTTTCGCTGTTAAGGTCAATTTTCAATCAAAAGCATTTTTTGATTGTTTCGACTTGAAATATATTTCAAAGCGATGTTTCTTGAGTTGAAACCCCCATTTTGGGTTCTGTACTCCTTCAAAGGATATTTTGTACACGGTGTGCAAATGTCCCTATTTGCACTATTTATAAAGCCGTAGGCGATTTTAAAATCATTTATTTCTCAAATCGGTGAATTTATAATGGTTTTTTAGCATCTTTTTCTCCTTTGGACCTCCTACCTTTTCTATTTCACGGATGTCGATTACGGACTGCGCATGTTGGTTTCCATCGGGTTGAAAAAATAGAAATTAATATAAATACTGACATGGAGAAAAACTTGAAATGAATTTAAAAACCTGCAAAGATGACTGTGAAAAAACTAAGTGCGCTCATGCAAATAAAGGCATTTGTATTCCGGGACGTGGCAATAAAAAGTTGTAAGATGCATTGTGGCCAAGTGTTCATATTTTTCCGCTTTCTCCCATTCAAATATAATAACTATACGAGAATTCTCACTTAATATTCCGAAGATCATATATCGTTCAGCACAGCCGGATTTGTCGGTGCTAACGACGATCGGGCCGAGAAATATGGTTGACCCACGAGGTCATAAAGGCTTTTAAAAATTCTCTGGGTCCCTCATAAAATATCCAAATTACCGAGTATGCTTTTGTGTGTTCGTTTTTTTTCTTATCGCTGCTGGCTTCGACGTTTTTTCCGGTATTTTTCGCTCGGCAGTTTGTAGAGAGAGGGAGAGAGGGAGAAAAACGGTGACTTTCAGACAAACTTTTTGGATTTTTGCAGTTATATTTTTGGGGTTATTTACAACCTATAATAGTTTTCATTATGTACCTGTTTAAAAGGCACAAGCCCTAAGACTGAACAGAGTGTCGTTCATTAGCACTTGGAAGCAAATGAGTGGGAAATATTAACCAATAACCGAAATGCCGATTTAAATGGCACATCAAGTTGTGGATATTTTTCTTTTATGGATTATTACAAGTGCGGTCCATAAAAAGCGCCTATAAAAACTACTCATACAATACATAAACCCCATTGTAACGTTTCATTGTTTTAATTTTATGGGTATAGCGGGACGTATAAAATTATGGGATATTTAAAGATTTTTCATAAAACCGTAAACAAACGACGCCAGCGATTAACTGCATGGTTAAGCGCCTACTTTTTATTGTTTTATTCAAATTTGGTCACTATGAGATATAACTGGGTGTGATTTCAATAAAAGTAGGTAATAGGTGAAAGTTTTTAGGCCTTCCGTTTCATGCAGTTGGTCCGTGTGCTTCCGCCCATTGACTAATAAAGGCTCTAGAAGAAGAAACTCCTATTTTTTTTAAATGTAATTTTTTAAAAATATTTTTCCAAAATTGCTGATTTTGAAATTGGGAGCGGTAATTTATTACTGTAGAAGTGGAATAAAACATATCTACTTTTTAGTGCAAAAAAGTAAAAAGATTTTCCAAAATTATTGATTTTGAAATTAAGAGTGGTAACTTTTTCTTGTAGAACTTGATTAAAAGACACTTTTTGATGCAAACAAGCAAAAAGTTTTTGGAAAATTGCTGATTTTGTAAATAAGAGCGATCACTTTTTCTTGTAGAACTTGAATGAAAGTTAGGTACCTACTTTTTTTGTGCAAAAAAACGAAAAGTTTTTTAGAACAGCGGTAATTTTTTCTTGTAGAACTTGATTAAAATGCACTTTTTGATGCAAAAATGCAAAAGTTTTTGGAAAATTGCTGATTTTATAAATAAGAGCGATAACTTTTTCTTGTAGAGCTTGAATGAAAGGTACTTCTTATTGCAACAATGCAAAGTTTTTCCAAAATTAGTGATTTTGAAATGAAGGGCGATAATTTTTCTTGGAGACCTTTTTGCGAGTTAAAAATTTCGTTTCTTTCAAGAAAACAAAAAGCTTTGAGAAAATTGTTGATTTTGAAAAGAAGAGCGATAATTTGTTCTTGTAGACGTTTTCGCGAACAAAAGATACTTTTTAGTGCAAAAAAGCATATAGTTTTTCCAATATTATTTATCTTAAATTTAAGAGAGGTAATTTTTTCTGGATATTCAGCACTTGAATATCCATTTTAGTGGAAAAAAGCAAAAAGTAACTACCCCTGGTGGGACTCGAACCCACAATCCCCTGCTTAGGAGGCAGATGCCTTATCCATTAGGCCACAGGGGCTTGGGACAAATTTAAATTCACACCATTTGAAGAACCTATATCTGTATTTGATACTGGAAATACTTTTCTGTTAAAACTATCGTTCGATTTTCGTACATTGCTTCAAGATAAAGTAATTTACAACATTTTATTCAGGAATTGATCGTTTTTGAAGAGAATAATTTGAATACAAAAATCGATATTCTCTGAGCTGCTAAAGGTTTTTCATGTTTATGAACAAGGTAAATTAAACGCATTTATTATTCCCTGGGAAATCAAAATGACAAAATGGTATTGAAGCGTTTGTGTACGCTTGAAAACTATTGAAATATTCATATCTTTTGCCTCATTTTTTTCTTCTCAGACACGTTTTGCTTAAACGCGCATCAAAAACTGCTGAAAATAAAATGAACAAAACTGTTTAGTGCGCTAAAGTGTTTTGGTATGCACAATTATTAGGCCTTTATTGAGCATGTTCTGGTCGGTCGCCATCACATAACAAACATGTTTTCACGTTAACAAGCCCGTTTTCGATCGTAAAAAACGGAGACCATGGGGCCAGTTCCGAGTCATAAAAAGTAATCGGAACCTGAACGAATGCGTTTGGCCCTCGGCGTGACGAATCGGTTATTTTGATCGTCTCTAAAATCTGAGGTATTGCTTACCTCTCTTGGCGCTCTTTTCGACTGCACGATAGCATTGATTTATTGGCTTTCGACCTCCGATACAGACCACGAAAACTCCATAATATTAGAAACCCAGACAGCCTTTGAAGTTCACGAAGATAAGAAACCCTTGCTTAAATAGAAACAATCCAGTACTAAAGCTCTTTGACAAACAGTGTCGCAACGGTCGTTTTCATAGCAGTTTGGTCAGATAAGTGGAGCGTAAAGCGCTTATCTGTACAGTTGCAGCCATCCAAACAGTAATACAGTTTTAACGTTCAGTCAGCGTTTGAACCCTATCAAAAATCCATTACAGCCACCCTCACTTTTAATCGCATAAAGACAGGGATCAAACGTTGGAATAACCTCTTGATATCGCTCCCCATCGTGGCAAAAGAACACTTTCATTTATTTATGGTAATCGTCCGACGTTTTAGACAGCGTGCCCTTAATTCAAATTGGAGGGCAAAAAAGTCCCCGGATAAAAGTTAAGTCGTTACAATTATTGGAGTTAAACAAAAATTGCCCTCCAAGGGAGGGGGCGGGAAAAGGTTGAGGTCTCAGCCTTTTGTTTCAAGCGGTGCCTCCGGAGAAAGTTAAACGGCACAAAATTAGGAATCGTTTCAAAGGGAATTTATGTAAATTAATCTGAGGAAGAAACATTAAAGTACTTATTATTAGTTGCTGTTGCAATAGCCAACTTCTAAGTTTTCCCGAGCATTGAGTGCAGCCGACTGCGCCATTTCCGTAACCTCTATCGTGTTGATGTTGTTTCCACTACTCTTCAAAGTTCAATTGAATTCTACTCAATCAAACACTTTTTTAAATGTATAATCCCATGATTGTTAAAGCCAGATGATTCTAACTGATTATTCACAAATCGCTTTGCATTTCTCAAGGTAGGTAATGCAAAATTGGTTGCAACTTTTAGATCAAATGGCTGAAGTTTGTGTTGTTCCCTGTTGCTATACATTTGTACGATTTCTTGTCAGCTTTGCCCCCTTTCTGAAATCCTTTGAAGGGCCGTGGCGCAATAAATTACACAAACAGTTCCAAATCAGATAATCCTCGATAAAACGGTAGCACAAAATCGGTAACGACCATCATAAACTTGTCCAAACTGTCAAAAACTGGACCGAATCCAATCACATATCAGCACACTTTATAGTTTTTTCCCCTCAGCTGGTGGGTTTTAATTAAGTTAAACTAGATATTGTATATTCGGGATTATTTCTATTAAATCTTATCGAACCTAACGGTGTAGCGTGGAAGCCATTAATTTAGTTTTAATATTTGTTACATAATTAATGTGTCTGTAAATGTGTTAAACGATACCATTACTATTAATAACTTTATTAATATTATATTGATCGTTATTATTATCCGGCGCGAGTGCGTTATTTGGGAATGTTTAGCCAAATGATTAGATTTTTGATGTGTTGATTACCAGGTTTTAATAGTGAATTAAATTGGCCAAATTCATTAAATTAATTAATTATAAAGTAGTTCACTCCAGAACTCGACATATTGAACTTATCAATTGTGAAAAACAACGAGTTCTAAGCACAAGAGCACTCACGCTTTGAGAAGCATACAATTGCAGCCAGATGTTTTTGGACAAACTGCGACAATAAGTACGTTTTGATGAGTGTCAATAGCATTTTTTAATTTTCGGTCGAGAGAAGGCAAAGAAGATAAGCACATTCAAGTAGATCGTTTAAAATCATCTTCTTCTGATGGATTTTTTCATATTGTTGTTGTTTCTGAGTTTTATATATGAAGTTATCTTCAGAACATCGTCCGCAGGTTAACGCATGTTTTGAATCGCTTGCAGGCATATTCAGAACTTTTTCAGTTTATCTTCGTCAATGTTATTTTCTTCCTCATTTTGAATGAATGCTCTTATTCAGCTGCATTGATTTCTCGATTTTGAATTAATTATCTTGTTTAGCTTGGTTGTTTTCTAGATTTTCTTCCATTGGTTCTAGTTCGATTATCTTTAAACAATTTTTGCAAATTCTAGCAGATTTTAAAACTTAGGCAAGGCATTTCCGGACCATGTTCAGAATACTTATTCTCTTTCTCTTCGTTAAACTTGATTTATTTCCCGTTTTCTTCGTTAATTTCTGGATTTTCTTCCTTTGCTTCCACTTCGATTGTATTTGGATAGTAGGATAGTAGTAGTGTATTGGAAGATATTGCGGCAAGTTCAACAGGGCTTTCAACCTCTTGGAAAGCATTTTCAACACGTTTTAAGTTTATTTTTAATTTGTCCTCGTTAATTTTGATCTGTTTCTTGTTTTTTATGCATGATGTTGTTTAGCGTTTTTTGTTTCCGGCTTTTCGTTCACTACTTTTACCTCGGTTTGAATTGAAATAATTTCGGCAAGTTAGAGCGGGTTTCAAGTCGCTTGTAAATCTTTTTCAGGACTTCTCTAGTTCATTTTTCTGATTGTCTTCACTAATTTGGATTTGTTTCTCGTTTTCAACTAATTGTCTTGTTCAGCTTCGTTTGCTGAATTTTTATCTCATTAACCGGGTTTCCTATCGCCTACAAAGCATTTCCAGGACTTTTTCGGCTTGTCTTCATTCATTTTATTTTTGTCTTTCTCATTTTATTTTTGAAACGTTTTCTGGACTTTTCAAAATTAATTTGCTTTCGCGTCGTTAGTCTCGATTTCTTTTTCGCTTTGCATGAACCATCGTGTTTAACTAGGTTGATTTCTGGATTTTTCTCTCATGCTTCTACTTCGATTATCTTTGGAGCAATTGCGGCAAGATCAAGCGGCTTTTGAATCCCTTTCACAGAATTTTCAGAAATGTTTAATCTTATTTTTCGGTGTGTCTTCGTTAGTTTAGATTTGTTCCTTGTTTTGCATGAATTATGTTTTTCAGCTTGGTTATCTTTGGAGCAATTTTGGCAAATTCCAGTAGGTTTTCAATGGGTTGCAACGCATTCCAGGGCTTTTTCAGATTGTCTTCATTATTTTATTGCTCGTTTTGAGTGAATTATCTTGTTTAGCTTAGGTGCTTTCCAGATTTTCTGCCCGTGTTTCTGTTCAAGCGGGTTTTCATTTATTAATACATTTCCAGTTTGTGTTTCGGTGTGTTCGTTTATTTTTATCTGATTTTCGCTTTGAATTAATTGTTTCGTTTAATTTGGTTGTTGTCTATTGTTCTTTTTGAAACATTTTTCGCAGCTTGAAGCTTGTTTTGAATTTTATGCAGAACGTTTACAGAACATTCCCGATATTTTTTTTGTTTTGTACGCATTGTCGTATTAAACGAGGTTATTTTATGGATGGTTTTTAACAAGAAATTTCACTTATGGACAGATTAATTCGTTTCGCTTTTATTTACAAATTATTTCAAAACACATTATTTTGGGTTTTTGCGCTGTAAACGCAAAAAAATACATTATGAAGCGAAAATACCTTGACCGGACACCCATTAACTACATTAGATGCAACACACTTAATCAATCAGAATCACTTTTACAAGAATAGAGTTTAAAGTGATTCAAATCTGAACAAGTGGAACTTACCTAAAAAAGTCCGTTCTACAAAAGAGTTTTCCTTCGCGACTGAAGCACTTATCCGTTAAAGGGGCGTGGCAATCGAAACACCGAACGCAGTCCGCGTGCCACGTCCGGTCCAGGACATTCAGCAGGAACTTGTCCAGGATCGGTTTGTCGCAGCCTGCGCAGGCGATCAGCATTCCTGCTGCTGGCTCACCTCTCCCTAATTAAATTTGAAAAATTATTACAACCGTATTAATCTGCTGTATAAATGTTCTAAAGCTGTTTTTGAACTGTTCCAGAGTGTTTGTGAAACAACCTCAAAGTTCAGTAGTTATTATTCCAATCTGGACAGTTGTTGGAAATGAAAGTTCAAATGAGAAACTCTAAGAGAAATTGAAAAAATTGTCGCAGGTGTTTGATTGTTTTCAATGTAAATACAGCTTGTATTAGTGACTTTGTGTGCCCATAAAACTAGTGGCAATGCCTAAAAATACAAGTCATTGCCACTAGTTCCGTTCATTCCGGTGTCTAATAGTAGCGATTGACTTTGGTATGATGAACATTCTTATTATGAACTTGTCTTTCGCGCGTTCTTAAATCGTTTTACACCACCATAAAACCGCTAATTTACGGGCAATGTTGTTTATAATAAATGTCAATTCCATTTACATCCACATCAGGCAACACCTTCATCAAAATGTATACATTTCGAAATTCCAAAAATTCATTCGCTTTGGTTTGGTATGAAGCTGAAAACTGAATGAATATTTACATGGCTGCAATCGATACCTACATAGTAGTATGGTAATGAATAAGCAATGTGGTTTTTTTCTCGTTCAAGTAAAGATCCGAAACTCTTCGAACCATTAAGGTTTCGACTTGACTAAGCTCAAATTCAATACAACGTGCTATCATTGAATCGTGAAAAAAACTTTACGCTATTGACATAAATATCATGATCATTGCCACGAACGAACCAGAAAAAGTACAATTGATGTTTGTCAGTTGTTTTGTGTCCTTTGTTTTAATCATTCGTTTAGTCGGTTACTATTGAACGCATCGTTGCGTATAGTCTTGGTCGTAGACAAGGTCCATCACATGCACTGGTTTATGCAAAAAAAATTACGAAATGCTTGACAAATCTTAGATATTTATTGGATTCATCTCCTCGGTATTGACTGGGGAACAAACAAGGCAATTAAATAGGATTTTTGATCTTAAAAGGCTCAATATATCGGGCAAACCCTGTGAACAGGCTTAGAAAATTTAGCTAGTCGATTATGATTAATTAATCTTCAACAGGTAACAAGTGTTATTAATGATTAGATTGAACGCAAAGTCTAGCCAATGTGTGTTTATTGTGTACAGTTTTTACGGAAATCATTAAAAAAAAATTGTATACCTTTCCTACATTGGGGGAATTCTCTTAGTTTACAGCACGCTTCTTGTGTAAAGCTCACTCGTTCTTCGAACTCGTGGGTTATAAAGCAGAATTCAGGAAAATTATCAGTTCATTTTTTTTACTCAACTTCAGAAAGACGTTGAATTGAAAAATCACAATATCAGTCTAATACGATGCTGCATTTGACGCCTTCCAGAAGAGTCACACGTGACCCCAATGGCGGTTCGTTATTTTTTTATGGTCACTATTTATTTGAATGTGGTGTCTGTATTTATTGAAAATGTCCATAAAGTGAAAACGTTAATGACTCGTAAAAATGAAAGCAAACTATACTTCGCACTAGAAGTGATGTCATGCCAGAACACATTTTCTTCGTTTCTGGTGATTTGCATGTAATGTGTGTGTTTCAATTGAATGGCAGAGAATACACATTGTCTTGAATTCCTAGAAATCCTAACGGCATATGGATTCAAGAGGAAAATTAATTAAGAACCTGAACTAGAATGGAGTCGGATTTGAAAGACTTTTTGAAAATTCTTGCTGATTTTATGTGTTTTCCAATGCCTCTAGTTTAATTTCTGAGTTTGTTCCTTTCCAGTATTAATCTTTGATTAGTTCATTCATTTGTCTGTTGCAAAACAGAGCTTTGCTCCCTGAAAGTTTCCCAAATATTGCACCAAATAGTGTGGTGTTTGCTAAATTCACAGTCACTTTAAGTGGCTGGCTTCCAATATGGGAGAGAACCGCAACAAATAACTTACGAAGAAAAATGATGTTTATGTAAATAGCTCCGAAGCATAATGAGTTGTAGACAACGGACGAACAAGTCGGACATATTATTTAAATAAGCAGTATAAGTAACAAAAGAATCAAAAAGATTAGTGCCCATTTACTTATGTATTCAGGTTAGGTTGTGAACAGATAGGGGCAGGTCCGGACTGAGCGAATTTTTGTCGGACAAATGCAAGCCTAATTAGAGAACCGCGGCGGTGTCTTTGAATGTTTTTGATTACCTGCCAACTCACTCAGGCAGTTTTTCAATGTTTTTTGATCTGTTGAATGGTAAAATTGCAATGCCCTTTCAAGATGCAACAGGTGCAGTTGATGTGGAATTTGCATAATTGACAATATCAACCTAATAAAATGCGAATACATTAAACGCAGGGTGATTGCTTTAAAATCCGGATCTGAAACTTGTGTAGGACGTTTCGTTCGGTTCAAAAAAACTTCTAGGAATCTCATGCGAAGAGTCAGTTTCAAAGAGATTGAAGATTCTTAGCTCGTGGGCTTCAAACGGAATGACGGTTTCTTTGTACTAAACGTTTTGTAATTGTTTGGCTTTGCATTGTTTTCAAACCTGAACTGTGCGCTAAATTTTTGCCAAATTCCTGAATAGTTGTACCAAAAAGCAGAGGAATGCGTTGATTTTTCAACTTTGACGTGAAATTAGTCAAACAAATTTTGCATGTTTCTATCAGTTGCACTATTAAAAAATACATGTTTTCGACATTTCATAAAAAAACCGAAATACCAACGAGCTTTGACTACGGGTCTATAGAAAATAACTGATTTTTTAATTGCATAGGCAAAGAGAATTGCGTTCAAGCATTAACCACCGTAAAATATTAATAAGGCTTTACCGTATCACGTTCTATTGAGGCAGCGAAGGTATAGAAATTCGGTAGTAGTTGTAGCTATACAAAATCTTAAATAGGAAAACAGTAATTCGGAACAGTTATGCCAATTTCGAAACCATGCTACAAGGAAAGTCGGTACATAAGAATCGGAACAGATTTAACGGTTTTAGGCTCCTTAGCGTTTAGTTTTTCTAGTGCTTCTTGTTTGCTTATCATGTTCATTTTTTGCCTCTTAATGACCCACTTTATATACCTAATGTGCGATTCACCCGGAATTTAATAAAAATATGCCCTGAAAAACATCGCGGTATTAAACAAACATGTTGAAATCACGGTATAAATTTATAAGTAGCGGTATGTGACAGACCTTAACACGAAAAAGTCGCAAGGACGTAGAAGATTTTTTCTTCAGTGTGCGAATTATCGCCTTTACGAACCCTCTTTGTACTTCCAGGTACCTCGGAAGTTTACCGTTCTTCCTTTAAACCACTGAAAACCGTACAGATATGGGGCCTAATGGTTTTCAATACCTGCCGAATTTTTCCAATATTTCTTGCAAGTAGCGCCAAGTGAACATCGAGGACAGCACGATCCTCTCTATGCTATCCACCACATGTTGAGGCTTAATTTCCAATGAGTAACTGACCGTATTTTGTGCAATTAGCGTTCTCTAAACATTTCGGAGCCAGTAGCAATTAAACAGTTCGATTTTCAAACCAAACGAAAAATGTCTGCGTTTGCGTGATTTGCTAAACTGCGCCATCAAACCGTCCATTTTTGCATCTTCATCTTCTAACCGGCTAATTTGTCATCTGAATGCAAACCCATTTCACTAAGCGGTAGGAACATGTCATAAAGTTCGACCATGAAAATAATAATTTGTCGCTACTGCACGTCGCATTGTTAAAAATTCAACACGCTGAAAGCTATTTAATCGCAACAAAAGAAATATAATTACGTGCCTAAATTATAACTCATAACCGGTGTCAACTAGGAAGATTGAAAGATTAATCGGTTTTCAGTCGGTGGAACTGGGATGCAATGGATTCATTAGCATGTAGGTAACTGAGTTGCACGTAGACTGATTATTATTGCGGTATGTAGTGAGAAGATGGTTAATTTTGCTCAAGTGGGCAGGTTTAGATGCTTCTAGACATCCCCTTCTTCCTCGAGGTTCCTGGCTAGCGCTTAAGAGTGTCATTTATTCCCTTTTTTTGCTTTTCTCTGTTATGGATGTCTTTGTCTATTGGCGTTAGAGCTTCGATTGTTGAATGCTCATTTCTTAAGTCACATGTTCGGATTTCTGAACCTTCAGTTCTACTGGTTGATAAGGAGTGGGAATGCAATGAGACTCAGAAGGTTGCTAAATGTCTCAATCAGGAATTACATTGCAATGTGTGTTATATTTGATTTTTTTTGGATTGTTGATAATTTCTGCACACTTTGATCGTGATGTTGCCCCGAAAAAATTACTGTTAACTAAGTCTTGTATCATTTGTTCTTATCATCTGACTACTTATTAAAGGATCAGCTTCAAACCATTGCCTGATGAGGGATGATAATTTTGCAATGAGGCCCGAAGTGTAAATGGTGTTTCAGTAAAGTTAGGACGTAGGACTTGTGCAAAACTGAGAGATTGACACAGTTTGAACATGAGTAGATTGCGGTGTTAGATTAGAGATAATGTGAAAGATGGAAACCCACCTATGCTGTGTGTGGAGTGATGCAGGTTAGCAAAATTGGGCCCGATAGGCACATGGGCTATTGCGGCCCTTAAACTAAAAGCCCCCACGGGTGTAATAGCGGGTCCTTCAAGGTACGCCGCCAGGATGGTTAAGTTTATGGCGATGGCACGCACACACCACTAAAATTTCCACTATCCCTCACACGTTTCCTCTTCGGAGCGTTGTTTCACAGAAATCCAGTTAGCGACACTGTTCTTTTGAACCTGCTCGAGCCCGACGACGAACGTCAAACGGTTTGACAGACTAGAGAAAACCGTGACGGCAACACCGGTTCAAACGCTACAGAGTGTTAAGAGCGACTAGATCTGTTGGACAATCGTGCCGTCTACCCCTACTTTGGCATCGATTTTCGTTCCCCACTCCGATATCGGGCCAATGGCATAGTTTTTCCACACCCCTTCGCATAGTCCCTCCCACACCTGGCAGCCATCAGGTTGTGATCTTTATCTGGAAGGCTTCGGCCGCCGTTCTCCTATGTTCTTATGTTCTGTGGCACGAAAGTTGGCATTTGCCTACCCGATTTTTTAGTGGTCGGATTGTGGTCTCACGCCTTGCCACTGCGCTTTTTTTTTGACACGGTCTATAGGTGTGAGTGGCGACAATTCGGGTGGGGGGTGAACTTTGATAATGCACTTTTTTCAGTCCTGATGCCTGTTGCGATTCTCATTCAAATGACTCCATGCGCTTCATCAGAATTTGGTTCATCAGTTATTTTCGGTCTGTTTTAGAAAAAACAACAGTTCCTAATTGGGATGTTTTTGTTGCTGCCCTTAAAGTGCCTAGAATATGAAAGTGGTTTCCTCCATTTAAGATGCAAGCTCAGTTCTCTGGATCAATCGCTTCCGCTGTGTTCTTCGACTAATCGATAATCCATTGTTTTCAACAGGGCCACTCATTGAAAAATGAAACGTATTTTTATGAAGTCAAAGTCTGTTTGAACTCAGCATTGGCGGTTTTCACGTAATTAGCCTGCAAACGTTTCGGATTCCTGTTTAATTCCGCTCAATTCTCTATCCAACGATGCCAAAACGAATTCTGTGGCTCAAATGGTTCTTGAGAAACCTCGAAAAAAGCAGCGTCATGTTCAAGTGGATTTTGTAACTCAAAGAAAACCACGCAAGCCTAAAACTTCTTGAATTCAAGCATTTTTTAAGAAAATTGCCAACATTTCCCCATCCATAGTTCACTTTCTGAAAAGGTCATTTATTTCTGTCTAGAATGATGTACAAATTAGCGTTCTTGCTCATTTTGCCTCCGAGAAATGATTAAAAACGGGACGAAAAACATGGAATTTTGGCATAATCTTGCACCTAAGTATCTGATATTCAAATTTCGCTCTCTGGGTCAAAACTACTCGAATTTCCTCACTCACGTTGTTACGACTGAATCGAGTTTTCAATTCTCTATTCAACGATGCCAAAACGAATTCTGTGGCT